CAGGCACGCTTTGTACAAAGATGCGCAGGAAGATTAGCTGATCTACTTACATGCCGAACATCGAAAGATGTAAAGTAAGTACTGAGCTCTCCTATCTCATCTAATAAATAGGCCACAATAGAACGTGAATTGTGACGAGAGTTCCAAAGTGTCACCAACTCCAAGCAGTCTACTTCCATTATCACATGGGAGAAGCCTCGGAAAGTAGCAAAAAGAACCCCATCACGTAAGGAGAGACCCTCCATAGTGAGAGGATCTGTGATCCCGGAATAAGGTTTGCACCACGCACCAAGCAAGGCCGAGGGAGATTGAGCAACACCACCAGCACCCCCTCGGCTTCCCTCAAGATTAAGTCCGCCGTCTGTGTTGATCTTGACAAAGCCCTCATCCGGTGGACGCCATCCAAATCCAGACAAAACTTGTGCCTCTTTGCGCGGCAGATGAAGGAGCGCAATAGCCTCCTTTGTAGCCTGCATAGTAGACATCGGGTCCCTACCCTCTTCTCCATGCTTGATGCGATTCCTAGAATGCCAAATAGACCACATTATAGTTATGATCTTTGCGTGGTCCTCATAGGAGAAACTTGAGGAGCACGTAATGGCATGCGCCCATGACTCCGAGTGAAGGTTGGGCAGCCGTAGACCAAACCACGCACATGCCTCTTCTCAGAATTTTTTTGCATGCGGGCAATGTACTAATGCATGCTTCAGATCTTCGTCTGTCCCAACAACAACTATTTCGAAATAGAAGGAGTAGTACGCACACTCGTGCGTATACCTGGCCATGGGAAGCCCGGCCCGGCCGGCCCGGCCCGACCCGGCCCGAAAAAGCCCGACCCGGCCCGGCCCGACGCTGCCCCCGGGCCGGGCTTGGGCCTAGATTTTGAGCCCGAAGGTCGGGCCGGGCCGGGCCCGGGCCCGTCATTTTTGCGCTTTCCTGAAGGTCGGGCCGGGCCGGCCCGAAGCCCGACGGGCTTTTAGGTGTTCGGGCCGGGCTCGGGCCCAAAAAACAGGCCCGTTGGTCGGGCCGGGCCGGGCCTGGGCCTGGGTTTTTTGTGTCGGGCTTGGCTAGGCCCGGCCCGAGGTATGGCCAGGTATACTCATGCGTATTCGAGTTTGCCTTGGACTTGTCCTTCCATGATGTCACACAATTAAAGAAGGCTTTAGAGAATTATCACATACTCCCTCCGTTCCAAAATAGATGACCCAACTAAAGTTAGTCTAAAATTGAGTCATCTATTTTGGACGGGGGAGTAGCTCACATCAGAAACTTCACGTATTTGAAAGATAACCATGAGAGGGTGGTTGTTCTCTGCAGCTCAGGTGGCACTTGTGCTTTCATGGTTTGCTCGTCTCAAATAAAGGGAGAAAAGACGCATTGCATCAGGCAAATAATGCTACCACACACATGTGGCAGTGGTAGTACCACTGACACATTAAGGATTAACATCACTTGGCTTGCTAAGGAGTATGAAGATGCGATCAGGAGTGATCCAGCCATAAATATAACTGCTCTCATTGATGCTGTGCAGAGGCGCTATGGAATTGGAATATCCACGCACCGAGGTAGGGGGAAGACGAGCAGACCTTGGAGGTGGGGAGGGAGGCGGGGAGGGGGGGCGAGGAGACAGGCTTACCCGACGACGGAGGAAGGTTGGATGGGCTCCATCACCGGCGGACACTTACCGAAAAAGATCCCCCCCCCTCCGCTTTGTATTACAAAGCAACCAACACCGATTACATAGGAATGCTCGGGCGAGAAGCACAACAAGCCCAAAGAAAAAAGAAAGAACAAAGAAGAAGGAAGAAATGCCAACAACGGCAGCTCGACAAAGCGCGGATGACCCGCCACCGCCGCGCCCTCCGAAATTGACCCACCACAGACCCAGGCTCCGATCCGCCGCGTACGAAGCAGCACCTCCAACAAGGGATGCGACGTCGACGGCGCTGCTGCCCGGACGTGTCCTAGGGTTTCCCCCGGCACGCGAAAGGAAGTGGGGGATGGATACATCCGACACCCTCCAAGAAGGGATGGTGGCAACCGTAGGTGTCACCGCATCGGAGCCGGAAGAGAGCCGGCAAGGGATTTCTCCCGCACTCCAAACCCCACTGCCCAACCAGGCCGAAGCCAACCAGCCACCTCGCCGCCCATCAGCATGCGCCACCGCGGTCTTGACCCACCCACCCACGCCGCCTCATCGAGATCACCACCACGAGGCCAAGAGGATGGAGAGAGACGCATGAGGCGACAGGAGCAGCAGCACCGGAGCCACGCGGGAGGGAACTACCTCCACCACCGTCGTGCGGGAGGCCCAAGTCTCCGGCACCGTCGCGGTCGCCGTCCGGACGCAGCAGCAGGGCATACCAGGCCACCCCTAGCCTGGCCTGGCCCGATTTAGGCCTGTAAAGCCCCGCCGGCCACGCTGCAGCAGGGCGACACCAGCTCCGCCAGCATCCACCCGCCCATCGCCGCTCCCCTGCCTCCCGGAAGCCACATCGACGACCCTCCCCGCCGCCAGCCCGCCCAGAACCAGATGGGGCCCGAAGGGCCCAGATCTGGGCCGAGCGGGCGCCGCCAGATCGCACCGCCGCGCCGTCCCGCCGCCAACGGCAGCGCCGCCGCCCAGAAGATCCCCCGCCACCATGCCGGAGAGCACCGCCGCCGCCTGGGAGCACCCCGTAGCGCCGCACCGCCCCGCGTCAGAGCGACCCGCGAGGGGAAAGGCCAGTGGCCGCCGCCGCCAGCGCCGCCCGGGCCAGGCCCGGCGCCGGACGCCAGCGACGGCGGCAAGGAGGGAAGGGAGGGGAAGAGCTCGGGGAGGAGGCGCTGGAGGAGCGACCGGTCGCCCGCGGGGGCGACACGATCGCGAGAGGGTGGACCACCGGCGGACACTTCGCCAGCGAAGGGACGGCCGCCGCCGCCTGCTTTCTGTGCGAGGTCACGGCTCGCTCGAGCCAAGGAGAAAGAGAGGTGAGTTTTTTTATAGACAAAAAAGAGAGGTGAGATGGTTCACGTGCGTATGGATCTGGGCTTTCAGCCCACTTGTTCAACCGTTTTTTTTACTTTGTCTATTTTTTGTATTTTTCAGCCCACAGGAGAACAATAAAAAAATCTACTCGCTGATGTGGCCATTTTGTATGCCACCGGTGTACTTACAAACTGGACTCACTGTCATAAATCATGTCGACCTATTTACAACGAATTACCCTAATATGTGGTATTTCTTGCGACAAACATGTAATGTATGTGTTTTGTGCAAGACCAGCACCAAAAGCAGGCAGTTTGTGCAATTTCCTCTCTGAGAGCCGAATTGGGTTTCCTAGCCTTGCTCCCAACATTGTTGAAACTGAATACTGTTGCAGCTGCCCCATTCCAGTTTGCTAGTCGTGCTAATTTGCTGCAGCTGCAGGTACGAACCGAATCATTATCGAAACCGGTGCCACGACTCTCGAGCAAGATATGCTGTTGTCTTCCGTGAAGCCAAATTTCTTCTGTTTACTATAGTTTCCTAGAGTTCAAAGTTGTTTCTTTGTAAAAGAGCTTGTATTGATTCCGTTGCCCGTGATATGAGATATTTCTTCGCTGTAGAAGAAAATACTACAGCAACAAGCCAAAATCTTCCGACCAGAAATAATCAGTGGGTAACAGATGCCAAACTGATGCATCCAAGCCTTGTCACATCAAGCAATTGTAAAGTGAGCATCAAGGCAAGCTAAGGCCTTAGACAAAGTCTTAGCAAGGTTCATCATCTCCAACGACAAAAAAACATAGGTTAGATACATCTCCCACACTGTTGCTGGGCAACATGATGCCACCGGTGTAACAATATAACCTCCACATTACATACTCAAGACTGACAAAAGAGAGGAGAAAGTCCATACAAACATGAGCAAACAAAACTTCACCGCAGCGGCAAAACAGCGTTGCTGGACAACTAGCAGTAAACATATGGCCGAAATCTTGCGCTAGGTGACTGAGCCTTCTTCAATGGCGCCAATGTTACTGTCCTTGCTCAATAAGATGTACCAGCGTGGCACTTCGCTTCATAGAAATGAGATGCCTGCAGAGGGACAACAGAGAATCATTAGAATGAAGAACAATGAACACAAGGGTGCAAAAAAAAGCCAAAAGCTGCTATGAAGTTTATCACCCAAGTGAAATAATCTGAGAGATTATTAAGTGTATATTAGCTACAAAGCATGGATACGGCAGAAACTGCCG